CCTCATCATCCTCATCATCAGGATCATCATCCACCACATCACCAGCATGATCATCATCATCATCATCATCATCAGCATCATCATCATCAATATCATCACCATCATCGTCGTCGTGAGCATCGTCATCAGCAGCATCATCACCACCATCATGATCACCAACATAATTCTCATCCACATCTTCATCCATATCATCATCCCTCCCATCATCATCATCATCACCACCACCACCATCATCATCATCATCATCATCATCATTATCAGCAGCAGCAGCATCATCCTCATCATCATCATCATCATCATCATCAGCATCATCACCGTCATCATCGGCATCATCCTTATCATCATCGTCATCATCAGCATCATCAGCAGCATCATCACCACCATCATCATCAGTATCATCGTCAGCATCATCATCAGCAGCAGCATCTCCGTCAGCAACATCAGCAGCAACATGATCGTCATAAGCAGCAGCAGCAGCATTCGCATCATCATCATCATCATCATCATCATCAGCAGCATCATCATCATCATCATCATCATCATCATCATCATCATCATCATCATCATCATCATCATCATCAGCAACATCGTCATCAGCAGCATCATCAGCATCACCATCGTAATCGTCATCATCGTCATCCTCACCCTCATCCTTACCATCATCCTCATCGTCAGCATCATCAGCATCATCATCATCCTCCTCATCATCATCATCCTCATCCTCATCCTCATCCTCAGCATCAGCAGCAGCATCAGCATCAGCATCAGCAGCATCATCATCATCAGCATCAGCATCAGCATCATCATCATCAGCATCATCAGCATCATCATCATCATCATCATCATCATCGTCATCAGCATCAGCATCATCATCATCATCATCATCATCATCATCATCATCATCATCATCATCATCCATCATCATCGTCCTTCCTCGTTGTCCCTCCTCCATTCCTGCTGTTCCTGGTCTCTTCGCTGCCCCTGGGGAGACGTTGGGCACGGCCCTCACCGCCTCCTCGCTACCTCATCACCCCACAGAACGTACACCGACAGACGGTGACGTAGCAGAGTTCTGGTAGCCAGGGGCCGTCTGGGCCGCTCCTCAAGCTGGACCGTCGAGCTTCGATGCTCGAGCCGCGCGACGCGTGAAGCGCGGTCATCTGAGCGACGAGAACAAACGGGATGACGTAGCGACCTTACGCAGTGGCTTACAGGGGCCGCTAGAGCGGCACGCTACACTGGAAACGAGAGCGCGTGCGCGCGAGATTACGCGGGAAGCTTACGCGCGAAGGCCCGCGCAAGTCCTTCCGCGGCTCATCTGCGCGCTCCCAGGCCTGCCACTGGAGAAGAAAAGCCCCCCAGACCTCCCGACGACGCTGACTCCTGGAGCCCTCGATCCCTTCCCCTGGGACCAGCGCTTCATGCCGAGCTGCTGCTCGACGGCCCCGGGACCTGGAACAAGCGCCCTGACGGCCCAGACTGGCGGGAAAACCTCGGGCGTGATTCCGACTCGCCAGAGCTCTCGGGCGGCGACGGAGATATCTGCCACGCCCGATATGAGGACGGGAACGAGTGGGGACGATGCTGGTCCAAGTGCCATACAGCCAGCCGGGGGTCGACCAGAGGGAACCTTTCACAAGAAACCCAACCCTGGAGCACGTCACGCTGTCCGTGGCAAAATCATCGGAACCCAAGACACCCAGGGCACCCTGGAGGCCAGCAGGGTGTTTCTTGGCCTGGGCTTCCACTGTAGCAGCTGCTGCTGGGCGGGCGACGCCTGCCCCCAAAACGGACGACGTCCGCGCAAGGCGCCGACAGCGAGGCCTGTCAGAGTGGCCAGGGACTCCTGCTGGTCTTCGCCCCCGTGCTGCTCGTCCCCGCTCGGCCCTCGTGAGAGGCGTGTTTTGCTACCTCCCCTCTGCGAGCTGACTCTCCGCGATCGCACTGTACACGAGTCCCACGGCTGGCCGCTCCGAGTGCGCGGCCGCGGCCGCCCCCCGCCTCGGGAAGCAGGGCTGCAACGACCGGGCTCTGCGGGGAGAGTGCGCGGGGCAGGCAGACAAACAACAAACAAACAACAATCCAACAAAAAAAAAACGCGCGTCGCGGCGCCGAGCCGACCCCGCCTCGAAGCAGGGCTGGCACTGCCGGGCCCCCCCCGATCGGGCGCAGACGAGCGAGCAAAAAGCAAGCGTGTCGCGCCTCCCCCCGGGCGCTCACTTCCTGGACGCAGCACGCCGCGACATTCCAGTCCATCCCCCTCTGACAGGACGTCGCCAGAATAAAAAAAAAGAAAAAAGAAAAAAAAAAAAAAAAAAAAAAAAAAAAAAAAAGAGAAGATAAAAAAAAAAAAAAAAAAAAAAAAAAAAGAGAAAAAAAAAAAAATGAAGGTGGCGCACGCCGAATGGATGTACCACCGGCCGGTGCGCGGAGGCCCTGGAGGCCCATCTTCCTCCGTCAGCTCGCTCGGGCATGGGCTGTTTGGGCAGGTCCTGCTTGTTGGCCACACGAGCATGGCTGCGCCCCGCATCTCGTCCTCGCCGAGCCCTGCATCAGCTCTCCCGCGCGCGTCCTCCACGCGGTCCCGGCGCTGCTGTCCACGCACGAAGACGAGCCCCTGGGTGCCCTGGAAGTTCGTAAAGCGCCAGACCGGCGGATCTTGTCCTGCCCGCCGACGTCCCACACGGTGAAGCTGATGTTCTTGTACTCCACGCTCTCCACGTTGAAGCCCACCGTCGGGATCGTCGTCACGACCTCCCCGAGCTTCAGCTTGTACAGGACGGTCGTCTTCCCCGCCGCATCCAGGCCGAGCATCAGGATGCGCATCTCCTCCTTGCTGACCATGCGCTGCCAGATCTTGGTGAACACAATGCCCATCCTGCCTACAGGCTGGGTGCGCGACGGAACGAGGCGACCAGGAGGCCTGAAAGAGAAGTCCGAGCCCGACTCTTGAGCCAGAAGGTCCCGAACCGGGGGCGGCGACAAGGACCAGGACGGCGGCTGGGGCCAGGAGGACGAGGACGAGGGGTCGGGGCGGACGGAAAGGGTGTAGATATATATACAAATAGATATGAGGATATGTATAGGAGGGGGGTGTAAGCGAATCAGCTCCACGCAGCTGGTTTTCCCATCGCCCCCGAAAGGAGCACCGAAAGGAGCACCGAGGCCCCTCCCAGACCGGAGGGCGCCGCTCTCACCTCTGCGCCCCAGGCCGCCCCTGGGGCCCAGGGGCCTCCGACCTTTCAACGCCATGGTCCAGAAGTGGCTCTCCACATCCTCCTCCACCTCCTCCCCTATCCTCATCAACCTCATGCTCATCATCCTCCTCATCTCCTCTTCCTCTCCTCGTCAATCATCATCGTTCATCATCATCATCATCATCATCATCATCATCATCATCATCATCATCATCATCATCATCATCAGCAGCAGCAGCAGCAGCAGCAGCAGCGGCATCATCACCACCACCATCACCATCATTATCATCATCAGCATCATCATCATCAGCAGCAGCATCATCACCACCACCACCATCATCATCATCATCAGCAGCATCATCAGCATCATCATCGTCATCGTCATCGTCATCATCATCACCATCATCATCAGCATCAGCATCAGCTGAGTCCTCATCATCGTCATCATCATCAGCATCATCAGTATCATCATCCTCATCCTCATTCTCGTCCTCATCCTCATCCGCATCCTCATCCTCAACATCATCATCAGCATGAGCATCAGCATCCTCATCATCATCATTATCATGACCAGCAGCAGCATCAGTATCATGATCATCATCATCAGAAGCATCATCAGCATGATCGTCAGCAGCATCATCAGCAGCATCATCAGCATCATCGTCATCTTCATAATCATCATCATCACCATGATTATCATCACATCATCATCATCATCATCATCATCATCATCATCATCATCATCATCATCATCATCATCATCATCATCATCATCCTCTCATCATCATCATCATCATCATCATCATCATCATCATCATCATCATCATCATCATCATCATCATCATCATCATCATTAGCACCATAATCATCATCAACAGCATCATTTTCCACTTCATCATCATCAGCATCAGCATCATCATCCTTATCATCATCAGCATCATCATCATCCACCACCACATCACCAGCATGAGCATCATCATCACCATCATCACCATCATCATCGGCCTCCTCCTCGTCATCATCAGCAGCAGCATCATCGTCGTCACCATCGTCATTATCATCAGCATAATCATGTTTACCACCATCATCATGATCACAGACATAATGCTCATCCGCATTCTCATCCCCCCCCCCATCATCATCACCATCATCCCCCCCATCATCACCACTCTCATCAGCATCAGCAGCAGCATCTTCATCAGCAACAGCAGCAGCGTGGTCATCATCATCATCAGCAGCAGTATCCGCATCATCATCAGCATCATCAACATTAGCAGCATCATCAGCATCATCATCATCATCTTCATCATCACCCTCATCCTTACCATCATCATCTTCATCATCATCCTCATCATCATCATCAGCATCATCATCATAATCATCATCATCATCATCATCCTCATCATCATCATCATCATCATCATCATCATCATCATCATCATCATCATCATCATCATCATCATCATATCAGCATCATCATCAGCATCCTCATCATCGTCATGATCATCGTCCTTCCTCGTTGTCCCTCCTCCACTCCTGCTGCTCCTGGTCTCTGCTCTGCCCCTGGGGAGACGTTGGGCGCGGCCACACCGCCCTCCCTCCACGAGGATCCCCTTCCAGGCACGGCCCTCACCCCCTCCTCGCTGCCTCATCACCCCACAGAATGTACACCGACAGACGGTGACGTAGCAGAGTTCTGGTAGCCAGGGGCCGTCTGGGCCGCTCCTCAAGCTGGACCGTCGAGCTTCGATTCTCGAGCCGCGCGACGCGTGAAGCGCGGTCATCTGAGCGACGAGAACAAACGGGATGACGTAGCGACCTTACGCAGTGGCTTACAGGGGCCGCTAGAGCGGCACGCTACACTGGAAACGAGAGCGCGTGCGCGCGAGATTACGCGGGAAGCTTACGCGCGAAGGCCCGCGCAAGTCCTTCGGCGGCTCATCTGCGCGCTCCCAGGCCTGCCACTGGAGAAGAAAAGCCCCCCAGACCTCCTGATTACGCTGGCGCCTGGAGCCCTCGATCCCTTCCCCTGGGACCGGCGCCTGGAACAAGCGCCCTGACGGCCCAGACTGGCGGGAAAACCTCGGGCGTGATTCCGAATCGCCAGAGCTCTCGGGCGGCGACGGAGAGATCTGCCACGCCCGATATGAGGACGGGAACGAGTGGGGACGATGCTGGTCCAAGTGCCATACAGCCGGGGGTCGACCAGAGGGAACCTTTCACAAGAAACCCAACCCTGGAGCACGTCACGCTGTCCGTGGCAAAATCATCGAAACCCAAGACACCCAGGGCACCCTGGAGGCCAGCAGGGTGTTTCTTGGCCTGGGCTTCCACTGTAGCAGCTGCTGCTGGGCGGGCGACGCCTGCCCCCAAAACGGACGACGTCCGCGCAAGGCGCCGACAGCGAGGCCTGTCAGAGTGGCCAGGGACTCCTGCTGGTCTTCGCCCCCGTGCTGCTCGTCCCCGCTCGGCCCTCGTGAGAGGCGTGTTTTGCTACCTCCCCACCCCTCTGCGAGCTGGCTCTCCGCGATCGCACTGTACATGAGTCCCACGGCTGGCCGCTCCGAGTGCGCGGCCGCGGCCGCCCCCCGCCTCGGGAAGCAGGGCTGCAACGACCGGGCTCTGCGGGGAGAGTGAGCGAGCAGACAAACAAACAAACAAACAAACAAAAAAACGCGCGTCGGCGCCGAGCCGCTCCCCGCCTCGAAGCAGGGCTGCACTGGCCGGGCCCCCCCCCCCGATCGGGCGGCAGACGAGCGAACAAAAAGGCAAGCGGGCTCGCGCCTCCCCCCGCGGCGCTCACTTCCTGCACGACAGCACGCGCGACATCCAGTCCATCCCCTCGTACAGGCCGTCGCCAGAGGTGGCGCACGCCGACTGGATGTACCACTGCCGGGCGCGGAGGCTCGGGAGGCCCAGCTTCTCCGTCAGCTCCGCAGCGGGCATGGCGTTTGGCAGGTCCTGCTTGTTGGCCAGCACGAGCAGGGCGGCGCCCCGCATCTCGTCCTCGCCGAGCACCTGCATCAGCTCTTCCCGCGCGTCCTCCACGCGGTCCCGGTCGCTGCTGTCCACCACGAAGACGAGCCCCTGGGTGCCCTGGAAGTAGTAGCGCCAGAGCCGGCGGATCTTGTCCTGCCCGCCGACGTCCCACACGGTGAAGCTGATGTTCTTGTACTCCACGCTCTCCACGTTGAAGCCCACCGTCGGGATCGTCGTCACGACCTCCCCGAGCTTCAGCTTGTACAGGACGGTCGTCTTCCCCGCCGCGTCCAGGCCGAGCATCAGGATGCGCATCTCCTCCTTGCTGACCATGCGCTGCCAGATCTTGGTGAACACAATGCCCATCCTGCCTACAGGCTGGGTGCGCGACGGAGCGAGGCGACCAGGAGGCCTGAAAGAGAAGTCCGAGCCCGACTCTTGAGCCAGCCAGAAGGGCCCGGACCGGGGGCGGCGACAAGGACCAGGGCGACGGCGGGGGCCAGGAGGATATGTATAGGAGAATCAGCTCCCTGCAGCTGGTTTTCCCAGCGCCCCCCTGGCGCCAGGGGTGCCCATGCATCGTGAAAAGCGCCCGGCGGCGCGGCCGAAACTGGCTGCATGCAGCAGATGTCGCACCCTCACACCCTCCCCCCTTTCTCAATCCCCTCCTTTCGTCCGACCCGAAAGGAGCACCGAGGCCCCTCCCAGACCGGAGGGCGCCGCTCTCACCTCTGCGCCCCAGGCCGCCCCTGGGGCCCAGAGACCTCCGAACTTTCAACGCCATGGTCCAGCAGTGGCTCTCCAGATCCTCCTCCACCTCCTCCCCCATCCTCATCAACCTCATCATCATCATCCTCCTCATCTCCTCCTCCTCCTCCTCCTCCTCCTCCTCCTCCTCCTCCTCCTCCTCCTCCTCCTCCTCTCCTCGTCAAGCATCATCGTCAAGCATCATCATCATCATCATCATCATCATCATCATCATCATCATCAGCAGCAGCAGCAGCATCAGCATCCTCACCATCCTCATCATCATCATCATCATCCACCACATCACCAGCATGATCATCATCATCATCATCATCATCATCATCATCATCATCATCAGCATCATCATCATCAGCATCATCGTCGTCGTGAGCATTGTCATCAGCCCATCATGATCACCAGCATAATCCTCATCCACATCTTCATCCACATCATCATCCCCACCAGCATCATCATCACCACCACCACCACCACCATCACCATCATCATCATCATCAGCAGCAGCAGCATCATCATCATCATCGTCATCATCATCATCAGCATCATCATCATCATCGTCATCATCATCATCCTTATCATCATCGTCATCATCAGCATCATCAGCAGCATCATCATCACCATCATCATCAGCATCATCATCAGCATCATCATCAGCAGCAGCATCTCCGTCAGCAACATCAGCAACAACATGATCGTCATAAGCAGCAGCAGCATCCGCATCATCATCATCATCAGCAGCAGCATCGTCATCAGCAGCATCATCAGCATCACCATCCTAATCGTCATCATCGTCATCCTCACCCTCATCATTAACATCATCCTCATCGTCAGCATCATCAGCATCATCATCATCCTCCTCATCGTCATCCATATCCTCATCCTCATCCTCATCCTCATCATCATCATCATCATCATCATCATCATCATCAGCATCAGCATCAGCATCAGCAGCAGCATCATCATCATCAGCATCATCATCATCGTCAATCATCATCATCATCATCAGCATTTTCAGCAGCAGCAGCATCCTCATCATCCTCATCATCAGGATCATCATCCACCACATCAGCAGCATGATCATCATCATCATCATCATCATCATCATCATCAGCATCATCATCATCAATATCATCACCATCATCGTCGTCGTGAGCATCGTCAGCAGCAGCATCATCACCACCATCATCATCAACATCATCGTCGTCGTGAGCATCGTCATCAGCCCATCATGATCACCAGCATAATCCTCATCCACATCTTCATCCACATCATCATCCCTCCCATCATCATCATCATCAGCACCACCACCACCACCATCATCATCAACATCATCATCAGCAGCAGCATCATCATCAGCATCATCACCGTCATCATCAGCATCATCCTTATCATCATCGTCATCATCAGCATCATCAGCAGCATCATCATCACCACCATCATCATCAGCATCATCGTCAGCATCATCATCAGCAGCAGCATCTCCGTCAGCAACATCCACAGCAACATGATCGTCATAAGCAGCAGCAGCAGCAGCATCCGCATCCGCATCCTCATCATCATCATCATCATCATCATCATCATCATCATCATCATCAGCAACATCGTCATCAGCAGCATCATCAGCATCACCATCGTAATCGTCATCATCGTCATCCTCACCCTCATCCTTACCATCATCCTCATCGTCAGCATCATCAGCATCATCATCCTCCTCATCATCATCCTCATCCTCATCCTCATCCTCAGCATCAGCATCAGCATCAGCATCAGCATCAGCATCAGCAGCAGCATCAGCATCAGCAGCAGCAGCAGCATCAGCATCAGCAGCAGCAGCATCATCATCATCATCAGCATCATCATCATCATCATCATCATCATCATCATCATCATCATCATCATCATCATCGTCATCATCATCATCATCCTCATCATCATCATCATCATCATCATCATCATCATCATCATCATCATCATCATCATCATCATCATCGTCCTTCCTCGTTGGTTGTCCCTCCTCCGTTCCTGCTGTTCCTGGTCTCTTCGCTGCCCCTGGGAGACGTTGGGCACGGCCCTCACCGCCTCCTCGCTGCCTCATCACCCCACAGAACGTACACCGACAGAAGGTGACGTAGCAGAGTTCTGGTAGCCAGGGGCCGTGTGGGCCGCTCCTCAAGCTGGACCGTCGAGCTTCGATGCTCGAGCCGCGCGACGCGTGAAGCGCGGTCATCTGAGCGACGAGAACAAACGGGATGACGTAGCGACCTTACGCAGTGGCTTTCAGGGGCCGCTAGAGCGGCACGCTACACTGGAAACGAGAGCGCGTGCGCGCGAGATTACGCGGGAAGCTTACGCGCGAAGGCCCGCGCAAGTCCTTCCGCGGCTCATCTGCGCGCTCCCAGGCCTGCCACTGGAGAAGAAAAGCCCCCCAGACCTCCCGACGACGCTGACTCCTGGAGCCCTCGATCCCTTCCCCTGGGACCGGCGCTTCATGCCGAGCTGCTGCTCGACGGCCCCGGGACCTGGAACAAGCGCCCTGACGGCCCAGACTGGCGGGAAAACCTGGGGCGTGATTCCGACTCGCCAGAGCTCTCGAGCGGCGACGGAGATATCTGCCACGCCCGATATGAGGACGGGAACGAGTGGGGACGATGCTGGTCCAAGTGCCATACAGCTGGGGCTCGACCAGAGGGAACGTTTCACAAGAAACCCAACCTTGGAGCACGCCACGCTGTCCGTGGCAAAACCATCGAAAGCCAAGACACCCAGGGCACCCTGGAGGCCAGCAGGGTGTTTCTTGGCATGGGCTTCCTCTGTAGCAGCTGCTGCTGGGCGGGCGACGCCTGCCCCCAAAACGGACGACGTCCGCGCAAGGCGCCGACAGCGAGGCCTGTCAGAGTGGCCAGGAACTCCTGCTGGTCTTCGCCCCCGTGCTGCTCGTCCCCGCTCGGCCCTCGTGAGAGGCGTGTTTTGCTACCTCCCCACCCCTCTGCGAGCTGGCTCTCCGCGATCGCACTGTACATGAGTCCCACGGCTGGCCGCTCCGAGTGCGCGGCCGCGGCCGCCCCCCGCCTCGGGAAGCAGGGCTGCAACGACCGGGCTCTGCGGGGAGAGTGAGCGAGCAGACAAACAAACAAACAAACAAACAAAAAAACGCGCGTCGGCGCCGAGCCGCTCCCCGCCTCGAAGCAGGGCTGCACTGGCCGGGCCCCCCCCCCCGATCGGGCGGCAGACGAGCGAACAAAAAGGCAAGCGGGCTCGCGCCTCCCCCCGCGGCGCTCACTTCCTGCACGACAGCACGCGCGACATCCAGTCCATCCCCTCGTACAGGCCGTCGCCAGAGGTGGCGCACGCCGACTGGATGTACCACTGCCGGGCGCGGAGGCTCGGGAGGCCCAGCTTCTCCGTCAGCTCCGCAGCGGGCATGGCGTTTGGCAGGTCCTGCTTGTTGGCCAGCACGAGCAGGGCGGCGCCCCGCATCTCGTCCTCGCCGAGCACCTGCATCAGCTCTTCCCGCGCGTCCTCCACGCGGTCCCGGTCGCTGCTGTCCACCACGAAGACGAGCCCCTGGGTGCCCTGGAAGTAGTAGCGCCAGAGCCGGCGGATCTTGTCCTGCCCGCCGACGTCCCACACGGTGAAGCTGATGTTCTTGTACTCCACGCTCTCCACGTTGAAGCCCACCGTCGGGATCGTCGT